AAAATGTGGGTGTGCTAGTGCGGGCGCCTGCTGCCTTGCAGTGAGGGCTGCGCGGGCAGCAGGGCGGCGGTGCGCAGCCCAGCGCCGCCTCAGCGTGCCCAGCGGGGAGCTCCGGCCTTCACGCACGGGCCCTTCCGCGGGGCTCGGAGAACTGCCGGGAGGGACCCGAACCCAGCCCCAAGAGCACAACTTGCCCATCCGAAGAACAAAGCAGTTTTTACTACTTTGAGCAGATACTCAATGATATAAATGAGAAGATTAAAAAGATTTCGACATGCATCTATTCATTAAGTCACGACGAAAAGAGAAGGCGATGAAAAAAATCAAGAATTTGGCCCAAAGTTCAAGAAAAGATTCATCTCTCTCATAGGAAGGGACCCTCTATTTTATGAGAACATATACTCAGGTGACTGCTTTTCACTTTAATTCTCTGCAGTAAACATAATCATCACCAAATTACCTTCGTTCTGTCCACATTATTTAAAAATAACAAATTATTTCATTACAGGAAAAAATATCTAGTGCCGTTTCTTCTTTAATAAAAGAGCTCACATAGAAGCCCTGTATTAACTCTTCTATAGTTCAGAACTTAAATATTTAACTTTTCTTTCTCAAATTTAAGATACGTGAAAAGGAAAGTAAGATTAAGCACACATGTAAATATTTCTTTATACAAACAAATGTACATAAATGCTATAATTAACTCCAAAGAAAGCAGTATAAATCCAACTGATATCATATGGAGATAAAACTGAAAAAAAAAACCCTCAAACCCTAACATTTCATTAAAAAGAGTTAATATAATCCAAGACCACACAGGTTGAAATACCTTAAATCAAAACCATACAGTTACTGCAACTGTCATTTAAGGCAGCATAAGGTTGTTTTGCATTTTACTTGTAATTTTAACACACTTATACTTCAGTTTATCTTAACTATGAATATCTCAGAATATCTTGGGTTTAGACATTCTATGAATTCAAATGTTCTTGCAAACTTAAGGGAAATAGGGTAATTCCTAGCAAGAAATGAAATATAGCATGAGGGATAACTAAACAAAAAAAAAGGATTGATAGTTATTACGGTATATGATAGCATGCACAAAATATTTTAAACCATAATGAATATTTTTATCAGATTTTGTAATTCAGTAGTTAGAGACTGTAGACTTATATTTTAAAATGCACACCCTGTCTAAACAAAGTAAATTTTAATTAACGCAACTTTTTTTTTTTTTTTTTTTAAGTAACAGAATGGATTTGTATAATGGCTGGGTGGTAAAGAAATCTACATGAAGACTAACTCACTAATTCACTATAAACTAAGCTGTCCTATCATGTAAAAAGATTACAATACATGAGATATTTAAGTGCCTTTCAGGGAAATTTTAAAAAGTGAGACTGCTGTAAGAGGTCTGCACTAAAGTGAAAAAACAAAAGGCTGCATCAGGAATCATCAGAAATGAGGAAAGATAAACACAAAATCAAATTAAAGGGAATGCTACTTGTTATTTTCACCTATCTTCCTAAAAATGATTTTTGCTTATGCCTAAAATGATTTGTCTATCCTTCTTGGTCTTTTCCGTAGTACTATCATTTCACAGTTTTCTTTCCCCAGTCAGGCTACTTCTAATGATACTTTTCAGTAACTATCCTTTCCTAAATATATGACTTGTCAGATCTTGTCAGGTTAAAACGTTGTTATGACTACTAAAGACTATCTTTAACACCTATACAAAGAAATTAGACAAAACTGTAAGCATTTTGGAAATATTTGCTCCTTTTTTTAACATCAAGGACAAGAGCAAAGTTCCTCATGAAGCCTTTTTCAGGCTCAAGCATTTGCTTTCTTTTTTATAAGGCTTACATCATTCAGACTTGCTTGCACTGCTGGCTGCAATTTGAAAAATTTAAGTGGCGAAATGACACGAAGCAGAAAAATCTCCATATCAGGAATAGTTTATATAGGTAGTCATTATATAGGGACTAAGGCTATGTGGATATAAGGATGTTGAATAGTTGTAGAGTAGAAACTTTGGTGTTTCATTACAAAGCATTGCTAAGACCTTTCCTTATTTTTTTTCCTTATTTTATTTCTTTATTCATCACTTAATACTGTCTTTAATCAGCTGCAATGCACGTTGGTTGATGGAACAATCCTAAAACTAGGCACGCAAGCCATTGCTGCTGGGAGGGGACTGTCTGGAAAGAAGTGGTAGAAACGAAAGAAAGAATGAAATTTGAAATCAGCCAGTCTTTTAGCCAACTGCCTACAATACTGAAAATTCAGAAAATTGCATAATATATAAGCACACAACTACATCATTAGTCTTCTCATTTCATAACATTCACATAATAACAAACTTGTAAATCCATTATCTGAAAAATGCTTTTTTTTCCTACAATATTAATAAATAGCATTTTGTGTATAGAACTTAAATTAATTTTCTATACTTTGTAATATTGCTTGCTCCACTGCAAGGAAAAGAAAAAGAACCCAGGGCTGGAATCATCTGAAAGCTGTCCAGGAACAAGGACACCCACTTACATGCCTGCCAAAACTGTGTCACTGTTGTGCCAAAGAATGATTAGACATTGCGCATCTTTTGTCCTTTTTGTATTTGTCAAAAAATAGCAAAAAAAAAAAGCACATGTGATTAAGTGTGCAACCATTCCTTACTTAAAAGAAAAAAGCTGTTTTTCATTTTTTAAGAAAATATTGCTTCATAACAGCAATTAAAACAAAACAGTTTTTTGGTATATCTGCATTGATTGAAAAGTTTTCCTAGAGGTGATGAGATTAGGAAGTGAATCCTACCTATTATCTCACATGTGTCCTCCAACAGTACACACAGTTTCACAGCCACATCAAAGTTACCAAATCATGTTAAGAAAAGACTTGGAATAATAACTGAACATCTTTAAAAATAACTGAGTTGAGAAAACTACTACTTTATAATAACAAGAGCAAATGATTGCTTGGCTACAAGAAATTATATTCCAATATTTACTGTGTGATTCTGCTAAGATGGAAGTCATCTGATCACCAGGATCTTCATATACAATAGCACACTGGATTTTTTTCTAATTATTTATTGATTGTAGGCTTAGGAAAATAAAAAGGAAGTCTTAGACTTTGATTTTTTCCCCTCTAAAGCGATTTTATAATAACATTGTAATTAAAAAAAATAAGCTGAATTTTACATAAAAGTCAGTTTGCGTTAAGGTAAGTTATTGCTTATAAGGGGTGGATTCAGACATCAGAAGTAACAGGTAGCAAATGATCACTTCTGATAGACCTACAGATGATCCTGCCAGGTCAGTGACACCTGCAGTGACACCAGTATTACAGAGAAGCATGTTCAATTACACTCTGTTCTGCAATTAGACTATTTTAATCTCAATGCATGGAACTTTTCACAAGCACTACAATAAATTCAGAGTGTTAAATGCAAAAACTATTCCAGGAGGAAATTGCATCAGACGGCCACCCAGGGTGATTCAGCAGAGAGAGTAAACAAGCTAAAAACTTGTGTTCTTTTTTCACTTTTATTTGAGTCGATCCTTTCTTACTTGAGGTCTGCACTCAGAGAACAGAATGAGTACAGTTTTCATTTAGGTTGAGGCTCACAAGCTCAGCCGTCAGTGAGATCATTTTGGTTTGGTTTTTATAGAAAATGGTTCTGTAAGGAGTCAGCACGAACAAACTGGTTTGGACCATTTCATGATAATATTGGTGAACTGATCTGAGAAGAGAATTTGGGGGAATAGCAAGGAAGGAGATGAAGGAGAACAGTTTTGGAGGTGTGAGTGAGGAGACCTGATAGTCAGGTTTCTACAGAAATAATAGCATTATAAGGAGTGATAACTCAAACACAGAAAGAATAATTTAAGTGACTTCCCTTGGAAGGCATATCCCCATCTCTGCACTTCCAAGACCGGAAACAGAAAGGCTGTTTTCACAGAACTATTCATATAATGTCAGTATCTTCTCTTTCCAAAGGAACAGGTAACAGATCCCATCGCAATGTACATACAGCCAGTGCTGTTCTTCATCACACTCATCATTTTAGAAACACTAACATTATATTTTCTCCTTGATGAATTACTCACAGTTCTAAGAGATCATTTAACAGCTCCTTTTTTTTTCATATCCTGAGTATTTTGTAGCATCATCAAACTTTCGTATCATTAGTTACTCCTTTTCAGATCATTTTATCTGTGGGACTCCGTTGGTGAACTTCAGTTACTTCTATCCTTTATTCAGACATCTGCATCTCAGACAATCTGCACAAGAACCTTCTCTCAAATCCCGTGACGGTTTAGTCTCTTAAGATTGCTTAGAGAAGGATCTTGACAAAAGCCTCTGGGAATTCCCATAAAGCGAACTTACATGCAAGACTTCACATACTCCCCACTTTTAGGCCGGAGAACGTTTTGCAGAAGCACCCTGACTCCTTGCCTGGATGAAACTCAAACCTTTGCCAGGATGAAATTTGGGCTCCTGCCATCCTGTCTGCTCTCCCCCAGGCCCATCCTGGAGGTGAGGAGAAACCCTGGTGCATGTGCTGGAAGCCAACTGCGCGGCGCTGCATCCAGGATTCCGGTCTCAGTGACTGGGGAGCCGCGGGAGACTCTGGACAAGCTGTGGCCTTGCAGATCGTAAGCATTGCTACGTATCAATACACGACCTTTCCCTAGCTACTTAAATCCTTGCTGAAGGAAACCTTACTTAAAGACTGCGAGACGTATCTGTTATACGCCTAAGAAAAAGAAAGGACAGTGAGACTAGAGCCACTGGCCGGAGTACGAGAGAGAGAAATCAGCAGCTCAGACACAACCCAGAACCTCCTGGGTACCTGACGGGCACTATCACTTACGCTTTGAAAAACTACAGCGACAAAAGAAAACAACAAAGCAGAATTAACCATTTTTCCCCATGATTTAACAGGGCAGAGAGAGAAAATATTTATGGTAGTAATGCTAAAATAGGAAGATTACCTCACGATGATTTAGAAGTTTCTCCAAATCTGCAGCCATTTGATTCTTGACACGCAGCAAAGCTGTCTTTTCTTTATTTAAAAGGCTGGTAGAAAGAGGATAGGCAATACAGTAATAGCAACACATAATCTCCTTTAATCTTGTATTCTGGTTGAAACATGCATTTTCTAAAGCTAAATACTGGCAACAATGAAAATCTGCTCAAGTAAATATAGCAAATGATCCTTCTATGTGTTCAAGCACTGGATCCTCTTTTTCATAAATGGGTCTGAATGCACGGATACATACAAAATCTCACTTTATTCAAAATCATTGAATACTCTGTATCTCCAAAGGATAATTTAAAAATATTTTCAGAATATTTTATTATAATCTACTGGTTTCTTTGAGGTAAAATGGGTTTATTTTATATATAGAAGTAAGGCTTCCTATACTTACACATTCATTTCGAAATGACTCTAATTCCTTTATTTTTAATGAATCACTGTTAGCAACACACGCTTCCCTCAAAACTATCTGCTTTAATAACACTGTCTACAGAAATTTTTAAGTAGCAAATACAAGGAAGAACATGCTCCAACTCTTCAAGCTCAGTAGTCTTCGCAGAACTTGTAAATCTCTCTTTTTTCTTAAACATTTATTATTCAACACAACAAGAGAATCAAGGGCATCGAGTCTGTTTTGTGAACAAAGTTATGAAAACAGCTTTAGCGTAAAAGCCTGCTTTTGTAGCACAAGCTGTTAACTGCCCTTTGTTTTATTAGCTATGGAATAGGAACATTTGAAATGTTCAGCACACACATCCTAAGCCTCAGCAGCAATTAAATAATTAAATGTATTTCTAATATAATTAAATGTATTTTCACCTTCATCCCCAACATCAAATTCCAAACATAAACTTCAGATTAATGCACTCATAAAGCCTATGTTTTATCGATTTTGTTGTAAGAGCTGTAAAGGTTTTTTTTTGGGAGATCAATTTTGTCCACTACAACAACTCAACTACAAAACAAAAAGTATAAGAATATAAATAAACAAATCACCAAAAAGCAACTTAGCAAGTGGACTGCAAATAGGCAGTACTGAATATAGGTCATGAGATTCAAATGCTTATTAAAATATGGAACAATTATATATGTTACAAACACAGATTCTTTAATATTCCTTGTATTTACTTCCCAGAAATGATTGACTTTTTTTTTAATTGTCTGTGTATCATCAGCTTATTTTAAATAAGCAATGTCATTCTTTGCCTTGAGGATTTCCAGCTCTTTACAAGCTCTGTACTGTATATTATGGCTGTCAATTCCTTCTAGGCATTCATTAATTCTTAATTCTCAGGAAAATTTTATAGTTTGACCAAGTTGCTTAAGCTGCATTACTGAAAGTTATTTAAAATGAAAGTAGTAACATTTGTGAAACACTGCAGAGATTTTTTTTTCACAATTTTTATCACCGGTGCCACTTTGAATCATAATGAAATTGTTGTACTATTTTTTCCTGAATTCATGTGTTGTAAGCTACTGGTATTTCCATTTTTTCTTGGCTTTTATGTATTTTCCTAACAGCAGAAACTAATCCTTTCAGAGCATGACTTACAAACTTACAATAGAAGCAATAACAAAAATTCTTGTATGCCTTAAAAAGTGTGCTTAACAAGCACATACATTCACGTTTATCACTAACCAGAAGTTTCCTTTCAAGGTTCAGTTTCTTCTATGGAGCAGAACCTATTCCACATAATGACTCTTCCCCTTCTGAATCAATATGACAGGACTGATCCATGTACTGTCCTAATATTCTTATTTGTGGGTAAATACAGGAATGAGGCTAATATATGGATGGAAGAGAAGCCCATGACATGCTCCAACATCTCTAGGATGGAGAATTACTGAAAAGCCGTGCAGCAACTTAACTTCCTAGTGCCTTGGTTTCCATGCAGAAGAAACCTGGATGCTTGGGAGCACGTGCAGTTTCATTCCACCACGCTTTTAAGACCTAACCAGGGATGAATCCAGGGTCCAGGAATGACCCATAGGACTTACTATGGAATACACTTGTCATATGCATAGACATTCCTTACGAAATCACTGCTTCCTTTCATTTTGCTTTCTTTGGGATCTAAAGCCAAGGTTCTTGGATATCATAAGAAAGATACTCGTAGGTGATTTGATTTCTGCAAACTAGCATTTCCTAACCTCAGATTTTAAAGCCTTTTGAATTTGGGCAATTAGGCCATTTTTTAAAAACTTTATCCTGAATGTACTAGCTACTATCCTATTAAAAAGATTCTAGCATTAGATGTTCCAAGTAATGTTTATGCTGAACACACTAAATAAATACAAATAAATGGTTTTATGCGTCACTCTTTTTTTATTATTTCTGGTTTAGCTTGCCAAAAATACTCCTTTTTCAAAAAACTGCATTTCCCAGAGGATCTAAGTAGTAAGGAATATGTCTTTCTGTTACTTTCATGTTAAAGCATGAAGAATTTGAAAGCTTAAGTCCAATCTTGAGTTACTTCCTACATTTTGTGGTAACATCCAAATATTACCATCAAAAAATCAAATCTAAAAACCTAAAAATGGTACATATGAAGGTTTTGTACATAAAACTGAACCTACAATGCAGGTAGATAATGTGAATGGATATTACATACACATAACCGTCCCTTCTCTGACAATTAGAGATAAATGAACCCCTTTTATAGGCTCAGAACAGGCAGTTAATGTTGAAAGTTTTAATTAAATGGAAGTTGTTCAGAACAGAGACTAGCATGAAAAATGGGTGATCCCTCACAGTGCAGCTGAATAACCCCATATCAGATTTATAATGGCATCTATAAAACTTTTGCTCCATGATTGCAACTGGAGTGCTTCAACTGGTTTAAAAACTCTGGCCTGTGAAGTGTCTGAATTACAAAGTGCAGGAGTTTTATAAGTTGAAATACAGCTCAGAAAAGACACATTTGTAGAAAAAAAAGTCAAATACATTTGTACAAATTCTGCTTGGAGCATTTCCAAGTAAATTGCAATGCGTTTGAATAGATAAAGTGTATTTCCAAAAAGAAAGTAATATTCTCATAAAAATCTCATTGCCAGAATTCTGCAATGAGAAAAAAATAGCTGACACTGTATGCTGAACTTGAGAATGTTTGCACGTCAATTAAAGAACCCAAAATGTTAACTAAGGAATATTTCAGTACATAGCTTTCTAGTGAGCAAAATCCTTGCACTGCTTCTAGATCTACTACACAGTCAGGCTTTTGAGAAGTGCTTTTGGATAAGCCAAACACTTTTAAAATCAGCCAGTAGTATTGGGAAATCTGAGTAACTACATTTAAAATAAATACCTGCTCTTTATGAATGAAGTCCTGTTTAATGTCTCCAGTTATTTATATACCTACATGTTTTTTAGAGAAAACTATGTAGCAAGACTACAATTATATCACTGCACACACAAGAATGAAATTCATAGACTTTGTGGTGTTTTCATTTCTGGTTAAAAGAACTAGATATTAGAGAAATTTCTTCACAATACGGCTAAGGTAGAAGGCATCCCTATAGATGCAACGGTTCATATCTAGCACCGATCTTCACTTTTATGAATTTGAGTACTGTTTGAACCAACATAAATGAAAGCTTCTTTAACAGTAAATAGAGTATGTTTTGAGATGTGTGGACCACCTTACACTGAGCCTGTAGATGTCTCATCGTTCGAGACCAGAGATTTTTTATCCCAAGCGTGTCTCGAGATAGTCAGCTCCGTGCGCAAGCAGACACACTAGATCTTCCCATGGCCACCTCAGTCCTGTCCCCTGCCAAAAAGCCAGCACAGGAAGAATTCAAAGGGTGGTGGGAAGCAGGGTGGATGGGGAACATGTGGATTACAACTGAAAGAGCTTTGATTATACCTCATAACCTCTCCCTTTACCTTAGAGTGATAACACATGCAACTTCACACCTAAGCCTAAACAGTAATCTCCTACATCTGTAATAACCAGAGCTGGGTCTCTAAGGTGTTCAAGCAGAAAAGCTGACAGACATGACAACTATGCATCTACTTCAGCTACAACAGCTCTCATAGGTCTTATGAAGATAGGGCTGAAGATCCACAAGGCTGTGTCGAGGACATCCAGAACAGAAACACTCCCATCAAGGCCACCAAGATAGTCCCAGCTCGGGTAGAGTATGCTACTTGCAGGCACTGATTCAGGCAAGTACCCGCCTGCTTATTCCTTTCCTCCTAATTTAATAGATATTCACACAGGTTATCCCTGAGAACTATTTGAATAGGTTAGTCACTTCCATATAAAGAGACATGCACTGCGATTGGGGGAAGTTGAAAGACAGTCCTAGCTAAGGAGGTACAAGGTTTATAGAAGATGACCGGTAAGTCGATCTGGTTAAAGTCCACTTTAAAGCTGACACTGGAAAGAAACTTGTGATGGACCAGCAGGACAACTCAAAGGATCTTTTATCAAAAGGCTGGGCTTTAATCTCTCCCATTCTTCTTGTGGAAATAAATTGCTGTCAGAAATGACATTTTCATAGAATGATGCAGCATGGAGAACCCTGAACACATTCCTTGCTGCCTGTCAAGGGCACTACACTATAAATCATTATAAGCAATTTTGGAAAGAATCGAATGTGTGACACAAGCACATCCCCAGTCCAATCTTTGCAATCCCTCCAAACTGAAGTTGAGGAAGAGCTGGTAAAGAATGCTGGTAGTGACTACACAGATATGACAATGAATACCTAAGGAATCCATGACCTAGTCATGCAGACACAGAGCTACAATGCGACAAAAGGTGAAGCAATCGGATTCTGATACTACAACATATCTAGTGCAAACAGCACTTAATGTTGCACTCAGCAACATTAAGTGATAGACCACTACCTACATCTCTGAGAGGATGAAGTAATTAGGCCTGAACAGCAGCCCAAGAGTGGATTTAACCATCATATCTACGTCTTATGAAGGGTGGCAAGTCCAAGTGCTAAATTCCCATAGCAGGGATGAAGGGTTTGCACTTGAGACGCCCCATGGCTAGAACAAGTGATAGCAGTTCTGTGAACACTCTGAAGCTGTATGGCTGATTTTATTGCTAATGAAATACTCAGCAGAATACGCAGAGTAGTTGGGGCTGATTTCTGTTGGTGCTTGAGAAGCCAGTACAATAAAAGTGTACCCTTGTTAGCAGCAGTGGGTAGGATGGCAACAAGAATCATTCCTTAGCCGGTGTGAGCCAAACTCCTAAATTTTGAGTTGGTATCAAAAGCCCTGTCAAGCTCAATGGCTTTGCAAGTCTCTGCCACCACTTTTGATGGGGTAAGGACATGACGTGAAGGAACAATTTGCCACCACAGATTCTGCACGCAAAACACACAAGAAGGAAAACCATGACCAAGCAATAGGTACGTGTGAGGATAAAACAAGACATCTAGTCTTGAATGTCAGGGCACAGGAATAATGCTGCATTATCTACCTATATTTTGGTATTCAAAGATGACATTTTAAAAGATTTCTAAGCAAAAGATCCCAAACTACTATTTTAAAAGTCAACTGGAGAACATGACTTTTAACATTATTTTTGCACTGGCTGTTTTTTGCAAAATTGTTTTCTAGACATAAATGAATGCATATATTGTACGTAAAATCACTCACTGTACTCATGTACTTTGTATAATTGTATAACAATTTACAGATATTAACTGTTGCCTCAGCTCTGAGATAAGGAGAAAACAGGCTACATAAACCGTGTTTAGTGTTTTCACTCTTACTTTTCTATATGCATGTTAACTACAAAAATTTAGAGCTATCTTTGAGAAGCTTTAATTCTCTGAACTCATTCTCTCAAAAATATTCCACATATAAACCAAGAAAATGCTGTTTAATAAGCTAAGAAAGACTGACAGGAACACTGGTCTAAATCTTTTGATCCAGCAGAGCTTTACTTGGCATTTATTTGGTGGGGATAATCATTAATTTACTTAATCTGATCCACTGGCCAGTTTGGGGCTAGCTGGGAGCTAGACTGGTTCACAACATAATCTGAAATCACCTAAAGGATATTTTAATTTAAATCTATCATCAGCAGTTTCCAAATTGCTACCCCATAGCAAATGACTGGCTACAATGTGCTCCTCTAGTTAGAAATCCCTTTCTCTAACCTTGATGCCAAGTATGTTTTTGGGAAGCACAGGAACAGCATAATCAACTTTATACCAGATAATGTTTTCCCCTGCACTCAAGGGACACTCGGGTAAATCCTAGGATGTCTTTTTAAGTCTAGAGTTAAGAAGATCAAAATTAGGGACTGACTGCTGGTAAGGCAGTCACTTGCTATAGTTGAGTACTGCTGCATTTCCTAAATCAAGATACCTAACAGTTAAACACATTTTTTTTTTTTTCTGAACCAGTGCACTGGAACACAGCTATCCTGCTTTTTGGCAAACAAGGGACAGATTATTTTATAACAGTTTATTTGAGAACCAGATGGCAAACACAGTTTATAAAGCTCTGGGATGGCGGGAAGTGGCCAGAGGTTTCTAGCAGCTGGACCTAACAGCAAATCAGAGAGTTTACACTTGGTGAGGTCTGCTGTCCTTACGAACAAAGTACACATCACCCTTTGCTAGTGCACTGGTCTATTATTTTTCTCTGGCTTTATTTCTTTACTTTTAATTTTGTATATCTCATGTGTGTCGTTTTTTCCTTTCATGCATTTGAATTTTCTCCATTTCCTTATAATTCTTTGCAACTGCAAATTTCCCTTAAAAATTGACTGTCATTGCTGCTTCTCTAGGCCTAATCACTCTTTTTAAGATTATGAGAAAAATAACAGATGCTTAAGTTCCTGCACTTAGTCATTGATACAGTGTCTACGTTTTTATGACCAGTTGGATACAGTTTACCAACGATAAAAATAGAAATGATTTCGTTTACATTTTGAAACAAAAACACAGTGATTTTAATTACCTGACATCTTTTTCAAGTTGTGCAATATGTTCTTTCTGTAGACTTATTTGAGAATCTCTCTGTTGCACTGTTTCAATCAGGTATTTGTATGGCTGTTGCACTTGATTCAACAAAGAATTTGCTCTGTCAAGCTGACAAAAACATAAAGTGTTACTGCTATAAATTTTATAATTTATAAAGCACAGTTACTCTTTATAATAATATACAAATAAACCTGTTATCTCACAAAAATTACAATAAACTAGTACTGTCTAGTGCTAGTTACTATCCCCTTAGTTTTTTGCTCTAATTGTGCCATATTTTCACTGCAGTCCTGGTGCTGATCTCTACACTTTGCTGAATCTGCATTTTTTAGTTTTAAGGTTCAGCTTCTATTAATGAGCAAATAAGCATTGAGAAGGCCTCTCTCCTTGTTAACCTTCTTGATCATAAGTGAGATTTTTCAATATTATACTCTTCCAATACATTTTTTTAGTTCTGAAACTGAACCTAAACACACACACAATAGTCATGGAGAGAAAGAACCTTCTCATTTAATCAGTTACTATATAGAAACTAAGAAAACAAACAGCATGTTTGCCAGACTTGCATAAAGGAACTTTCATACCTATGTATTTTTCATTCCTACATCTCTATATAATCATTATCAATAGGATTAAAATTCAATGTCAAATATTAACTGATATGGCTTTCATCTTGAGCAGCAAAAGGATCATTCTCTAAAAATGCGTGGACTGAAGACCAAAGTTCATATTTAGTAGTTTCAGCAGCTGGAGTACACAGAAGTCAAGAATATCAACTATATTATTTAAAATAAATTAAAATCTTTTAATGTTTACAGACAGGTGTAATGACTTGCTTGTTCACCTTAATGACTTTATTAAAAGCGCAATACACTCCATCCTAGATTTTAGAAGTGATAAAAAGAGAAAATCACAATATAATTCTCTGAACCGATAAAAAATCATAAATGTTATTTAAATGTATTAATTCATAAAATATTCTATTCCACAGAATTCCAGATTCACTGTGAGAAAATATAAAGAGGGTAATCATTTTCTTTAAGAGACTTATTAACTTCAATAAATCCATATGCATAAGAAATTAAGCTATTAGTTTTCTGAGAACAGAAATTATCAGGAAGATCTTTCAGAGAGAGAGGATAAATAGTGCCTTTACTATGCGTGAAACACACAAGTCCTTTTGAGAAATGGAATACTAATCTCTAGGATGTCCCAAAAATGGTACATAGAAACTTGCGGCAATCATTACAGGAGAAAGAAAATGAATCCAACTCATGGTGCTTGGAAACCTGTTCCTGATAGTGTAAGAACATTAAAGGGGTGTTGTCACTGTGAAGTTTCTCATCGTTCTCACTGATAAGAATAGAGTGCTTTGCTGGGAAAGACAGGTGCAGAATTATACTCTTGGTTTGATGCTGCTACCTCATTTCTTGTCTTGCAAATTTTTTTCATTAAAATACAAGTCACTGTTATTAAAAAAAAGAAAAAAAAGGAAAAAAAGGCTGTTTCTTTCCTCACAATGGTGCTGCTTTGCTGCCCATTGTTTTCTACAAACTTAAAAGAAATAATCATTAAAATATATTAAACAATAAATGCATTTTAGTCAATTTTACTGATTTACATATGTGACTAAATACAGGTGTATATACCCACACTCATTGTACATGCATATGCATATGTATGAATGTATGAAGCATCCTCCTTCGGCAAAGTGGGAGTTTCTTTGTAAGTAACTTTATTTTCTTTCTGAACTAACAATAAGAGTTCTTAGGTATTCCTGTCTTTTTCTTTTAATGCTAAACCTAATCCTTTGCAATGGGACATTAACTACATATGCCTCCACATACACTACTATCAAGGTCAAGGTATTCAGCATTATTCACCTTGATTTATATTCTGTTCCAGAGTGAGTTGTAAACATATTTTCTGTAAAAATATTTCATCTGAGACATACAAAAGCCCATAAACAACATCACAGAGAAAGTCACAAAAGTCACTCGGCAGCAAGGCAGATGTACTGGCTTAGTACATTTTTTTTTTTTTAATTTATGGCGTAACTTTTACCCTATGCTGATTCTGTATTTGCTTGTTAAGCCTCCCAAAGACCTGGCAGCCTCCTAGACACAAGAAACTGTCATCTTTCAATTCTGGCATGGTTGGTAAAAGCCTCTACAAAGTCAACTGATTAATTATTCCCCAAATTTAGTTTGGCTCACAAATTTAGTGTAGATCACTACTTTGAAGGCGCTGATCCATAGCCTTCTATTTACTTAAACTACAATTAACATAAAGTGAGTATTAGAAGCAATAAACCGATCTACTAATATTTCTGCTCCCTGTTTCAAAAGAAGTCAGACCATCGGTTGGTGTAACAGGAGAACGAAGTGTTTCCAACACATTAGTAATAAGTGAAAAATCTTTGTGTGCTTATTGCAGAATGGCTGAACTAATCGATGTCAAATTAAGTGATCTATAATCATAGGCCAAAAAAAAAAATCCGATTAAGCATTCAGACTTGAATACCAGAAGAATATTCAGTAGAAAACACATATTTTATTTAAGAGTTCAAAGGGGGTATCTGTGGGTTAGCTATCTACAAGACACTGAAGGTACTACTGGGTGACATTCTGATTCAAACTCAACAATTGCATGATCTAAAGAGTGCCTACTAACACATGAAAAAAAGGGCTACAAGACCATGCGGGAATAAAATGAGTTGAAGAGCTTCTAGCGGAGTTTTTTAGGGATCTGAACTAAGGTGGGTTTAGTAAATCTTTCACCGCTGATCCAGAAGCAAATATAAACCTACTGCAGGTTAAGAGGGAACGTATGGAAGTGGAAATCAGAGAGACTCAAAGGGAAACAAAGTGTTATGTTTTACTGGTGATAGTGAAAGCATGGCTAACGTTGGATTGAGCCTCCCCATGCTTTCAAGTCAAGAACATTTGAAAGTTATAGTTTTGTCAAATACAAATTTCTAACATACACCTAGGAAAAACTCCGTAACAAAATTTAGCATTGGTTAAAATAAACTCTCTACAAGATTTCACTACAGAATCATTCAACTATTTTTTAAAATATGCAGAAAATGCAAGAATTTGCGTTGTAAAGTACTTTGGTATAGTTATCGTAACTATTAATTACCATAGCTTTAAAAGGTCAAACTGTTAGCTTCATTCCTTAAACAGCCATCCTAGGAATTCCACATGTTGGCAACATCTACAGCAAACCTAGAAGTTCTCTGGTTCCTAAGACACACTTGAAAGAAAATCTCAAAACATTTCCAATAATTATTTCTAGTTGATTCTTATTTAGCAATTATTCTCCATATGAACATAATGGGTATTTTCAGCTATTACATATAGACTTTAAAATAATCATAAAATTAAACTTGTTATGAAATAGTTAAAAAATAAATGTAGATTCTTTTTAGCAGTTTATATTAAATATTCCCTAGACTTACAGAATCAAAAGACAGAAATATTTTCAAAAGTGATTTCAGACCAGAGCTGTGCAAAAAGTAATGAGGTATTCACTGAATAATTAATTAGTGGACAAACAAACTAGCTTGTCCAGCTGAATCTTCTGTTCAGAAATCAGAATTTTGTCTAGCCCACATTCTTGCTTAGCCTGTAAAATAACCCCTCTTCTCATATTTGTTTGAAAATACAATACAAATTTATTTGAAAAACTTCACTATAACGTTTTGGTTAGTTATGAGGCCATTTTGTGACATGAAATACACAGTAAGTAGTGTTTAGAAAATATTTCATTTTATGCACAGCTGTTCTGCAATATTTACAGTTTCTACATATTTGATTTTTTTGTGGCAATAACTTACCTCTTGTGAAATCTGTGTTACTTGTTCCTTCTGATGTTCCAGATCTTTTACAAGCAGTGAGTTTTGCTTTTCTAGCTGCAATAACCTTCTTGCCAAGTGAACGCTGTGCCAATAAAAAGCAAGCTCAATATTGTTTTTTTTTTTCAAAATATGCAAACAAATTCTAATACATATATATATATACTTTGGAACATGACAGACTTAATATCACTAGTGCTTAATTATTAACGCATAAACTATGCAGAGAAACCATGCAGAATGATCAAAGTTGTAACAACAATAAAAATATAACAAATTTAACAGCACTGAAATAGCATTCCTACAGTTACGCCATTGTAGCATTTTTTTTCATAAAGTAATTACCTAAATCATTTACGACATCATTTGACAACACCTAAATCATTCGACATTACATAGTGTCAAAAATCATATCAGAATATTTCAACTGATTATATGGGAATAATTGCTTTCTAAAAACTTTACAGAATCATTATAAACAGCCTCCCCTTAAAAATACACATCTATTCACTTTAATGTACATTTTGCAGAGTAACAGTGAACAATATAATCCTTATTTTTCAAACAGAGATGAAATTACCTTATTCAACCTTAAGCATCCTAGATGTAACATGTAACTCTAATATGCAACTGCCACATTTTTC